TCGGACACCCTCCCCTATTCTAACTAAATGGCTGTGAATGGTGCTCCGCCCAAGTGTTGGTCGTATCAACTCTAGCCACAAGGACTAGAGCCCCACTCGAAGCCAACCTAACTAACCTACCAGGCCGAATAACCCACCCCATCAATTTTGAACCCTGGGAGAGTCAAGGCAAGGCTAATCTTGAGTGTTGGTCGTATCAACTCTGGCCACCCAGACCAGCCCCTACCCGGTGACCTCCCTTTCTAACCCAACCAAACTGTAAACCTATCTAACCTATCAAGCCGAATAACCCACCCTATGAATTTTGACTATGGGGGAGTCAGGACAAGGTTAATCGAAAGTGTTGGTCGTATCAACTCTGGCCACCCTGACCAACCCCGTCCAAGGGACCTCCCCCTCTATCCCAGCTACCTAAACTACTTGCCCAATTATCTCCCCTTGAACACCTGGCCCGACTTGTACTACCTATAACATGACACCAACTTATAAATTCCTATCACTCTATCTTAACTCGCTGTCTCCTCCCTTCCTGTTCCCATGCTCCCCTGCCTCTACCTAGAACCACCCCCCCCCCCCCACATCTAGAATTTACAGGACCCCCCCCCCCCCCCCCAGTCCAAGTTCAGTCCCTACCCTACGTTCGTCTTAACTCCCGGATGGCCAGGTGGCGGATCTCATGCAGGTACCTCCGCATCCCTGTGGGGTTCAGGTGCACACCGTCGCCCAGCAACCCCGGAGACAGCAGCCGCCGGCGGACCACCAAATCCAAGCCCCGCTCCCGCAACTTGAAATTGAGGGCTAGGTTAAGGCGGGCCCGCCGCGCAGCATACTCCGCCGGGGTCACCGACCGAGGGCGCAGACGCAGAAACACCTTCATGACCGCCACCCTGGCCACCCCCCATTTATCTAACCTGTCCAAAAGCCCCCTGAATAACCCCATAAACTGTGCTATGTTGAAATCCCGATTACTAATGTCATTCCCCCCGATCTGTAATATCACCACCCCCGGCCTAAACCCCCCCGCCATCATGTCATCTACCAACCTCCATAGCGTCCAGATATTCGCCCCCCCCCCCTCCCATAGAACCGCACCTCCACCCCCTGCAACCCCAAATTTTCTCTAAACCTCCCCTCCCACTCCCTCCTAACCTGGTTCTCCAGTCTGGTAATATAACTGTGTCCAATAAGGGCAACCTTTCCCGAAACAAATCTGTTCATGGCGAAATCTAGGGAAGAGAGAAGAGGAAACAGGAGGTTAGGACGAATCAATTTGGTCTATATACAACATCACATCCTACTCAATTAAGTCACTAATGTCCGTAATGTTTAAAGATGTGTCTGACACGCTTCCCTGGGGGAGGGAAATTTGTTGTGGACGTCGACTCTGGTGTCCCACGGGCCCCTGGTTACCTGTCCTCGAGTTGCGCGCATACAGTTATTTACCACCAGAAACGAAAGTTCTCCTGATTGGGTGTGGAGGTCTCTCACCGCCAGGGACGTCTTCCTGTCTCCAGGTCTCCGAGTAGGTATTTGGGGGTCACTGCCACGTCTGGGGTGTGGCCACCACCCCAGGGGTCCATGGTGGCTATCCCAATGTTCAATCACCCGCGCACATAAGAGAAAACTGTATCATTGCAAATACCAAAGGTTCCTGGAGGGCGAGAGTCTCCCAGGACGTATCCAGCCGCAGCACTGCATGAACGTTATACCGATTCACCAATGGACAGGTCGCCGGCAGTTTCAGGGGCCCGGGTCATCCTCTTCTGTCTTTATCCCTCCCCCAGGTCAGGGGGTGTCAAGAGCACCATTTTACATGAAAGATAAAACAAGTATAGTTCAGACAGGATCTACATAATCTAAATTACTATACAGACATCTTCCCTAACCTACACAAATAAATGTACTGAAGGGCCAATCAGGTGAGGTCATAGGCCCCGGACCGCATCCAGTCGGGAGGCCGTCTACGACGCCTCCCCACTCGACGGTCCGGAGTTGCCCACAGGCTCCCCCGACGTCGCCATATTGATGCCGAACTTAGCGCGGACGCCCGATCGACATAGAGCACCTGAAGCACTGAGGCCCCCTCTGAGCCTGGCCATAGTAATTTCCCTGACGGGGGGGTGGCTGATCTCCCCTACGATAATCCCTATCCCTATTAAATCGGGCCTGTAACGCCTCTATCTTCTTAACAAGAGTGGCTATTTGTTCTTGCTCGGAGGTCCGAGCCTCCTCCCTCTCTACAACGGGGGATTCTGTTAAGCTATCGACCCCCCCCCCCCCCCCCGCTTGGGGTATCCTAGCAGACCCGCCTATCCGATCATAGCTCTCCTCATCAAGGGCCATACGAACGGCCTCTGCTAAACTGGAAGGCTTATTCCTTCTTAGCTGTTTCTGGACCTCCCGATTGTCCAGCGCATCGATAAAATGTTGGATCTCAATAATACTCCGCGTCTCCTGATCAGAGTCTGGATAGGCCCGAGCCGCTATCCTTTGGATATACCCAGCCAACTCGGATAATGACTCCCCCTTCTTCCTAGTTTTTCCCCGAAGCTGGGCCCAGTACACACCCACATCCCTCTCGGGGTCAAATCTGGATTTAAGTGCCGACGTCACACTTTTATAGTCTAAGCGCTCTGTGGGGGTTAGATCACTATATACCCTAAGGGCCGTACCCTTGAGTTTCACAGCCAGGAATTGGCAAGCTTGAGCCTCTGTCCAAGCGTTAATGGTCTTGCAAGCCTCAAAGTGTGTAAACCAATCTTTATAACTACCCTGGCCATTATAAGCTTCCGGGACAACTATGGGTTTGGGCAGGGGAACTAACTGGGGCGACTGGGGCCGAGTCGCCTGCGAAGGGGCTGCCCCGGGTCTTGATCTAGGGGTCGAGCCAGCAAGGGGTGTACTAAACCTAATCCTTGAAGGACTCCAGCTAGAGGGCTCCCTATTCGTACCTTGGCCTAGGCCGCGAGGGGACCCCGTATCTTGGGCGGCCTCCCCAATTTTGCCATCGCCCACCCCTTCCCTTTCACGAGCCGGCCGCCTTCCACGCGTTTCGCTCCTACACAACAGCTCATCTAATCTTTGGCGCATTGATTCTATCTGTATTCCGTAGTCCGGAATATCAAAATTAAACTCACCGCCCTCCGCCATCATTGCCAGCACTTAATGACTAAGTTTTTAATAGAAGTAGTTATCAAACAGTCGAACCAATTTCAGATAGAATTATTTATAACTTATCTTGACCTTTAAACCTTAATTTTCCCTATACTCCTAATGGTATCTTTTTAGCACCTGTCCCGCCGGAGGTTCCAATTGTAACGAACGACGTCTCGCGACCCGCTAGTGGCCGCACCGCGGACGTCACCTCTGTAGTTACAATAATAAAAGTGCCCAATGGGTTCGACTGCCGCTTTCGCTTGCAGATTTCACAAACAAATTTCGACCAAGTACTGGCAATAATGACGAGAAGAATTAAACAGATTCAACAATTTATTATATATTTTACAAGAGTAAAGTTTAGCATGAAAGACATTTAACCGGCTCAGTGAGTGTTTCTAATTAACCCTAACAATGTACAGAAGCCACCTGAAATAAACACTTTTACCTAAACTAACTATCAGGCAGGAACCAATGTCGTGGTTGTCGAAATTCTCTAGCTAAATTAACTCTCGGCCCACGGAATCTGACACCGTTCCTCGGGGCGAGTCTCAAACCTCGCCGAACGGACAAATCTCCGCCACGTGACCGACTCCAAATTTACAAAGTCCAACTCAACACTACCGCCTTCTCCTACGTTCGTCTTGGCAAGGGGGGCACACAAAAATCAGCCTCACCGAACGGGAGAAAACTACTCCCCGAGAATACCAATTCTCGAATTATCCACTATTTAACAAAATTTCAACAGCTAGCGAACGTTCCCCTCAATCACGACACAAGGTTCCAGCCAAAACTTAAGTCCGCATAAATCGAAAAATATACCAAAATACACGGTCGGAAATCAAACCTATCGGGTTGTAGGTGGCAACTGATGTTTAGTAAACCATTTTATAACATTTTAGGGAAGAGATGGGCGCTGACAACACAAAAATCTAACAGATTACCCTGCCCGAATTTCAATACCGACCTATCGTATCTTGGCCTCCAAAGGAAGAGGCTGCGACATCACTTTTTCTCCCAGAGTTCCTCGCTTCCTCGGACAGGGTTGTACTAAATTCCGGAAAAACGACACGAAGCGACCCACGCGTCGCTACAATTACACCCTCACTGTGGTAACAATATCAACAGATCTCGCCCATTTTTGCTGAGTTCAAGGCAGCTGTTATGTCTGTTGGTGATCCAGCACGAACAAAAAAGCTAATTTGTTTGGCAGACCACTAATAAATTTTGATAGAACCTCAAAACTTGGTTTCCCAATGATCTCCCCTTTCTCAACTACCTGGCAATGATGATCCTCTATTGGCTGACCAGGAAGGAGAACAAGTTTTGTAAAGTTCTCAGACTCTAAAAGCATCGCTGGACCATTTGAATATCCAATAAGAAAGCGCTGTTTAAAAAGATGTAGGATACTGTCCCAATTATCCTGTTCTGTCAAAGAATTGAACCATGTTAATGCAGGTCCTTTGCGGGGAAGATGAAAAGCAGCTATTTTCCGACTAGGATATAGGATAATCTAATTTTAGAAATACAGCATTGGAGGTGAATTCCTGATTCAAAATTTTCAAAATCTTTGTCAATTATCCTTGAAAAAATAAATTCATTACTAGTAGTTGGATAATTTGGAAGAGATATGTCCTCTGATGGAAATGATGTAACTGGAAGTGGAATGTCACTGAAACTAGTAAAAGATGTGTTCAAAAATCTGAATTTGTATTCTTAGTTTTCTCGTGACGTCACAACTCTACCCATAATGCTTCCGTCCGCCATCTTGTAGGTCAAAGTTATTTCTATAAATATTCATCGTGGTATCATTATTTGGACAAACTAAACAAGCTATTTCAGCTATGGTAAACGTTTGTGTCGTGTACGACTGTCACAACCGTTCTTCCCAGGGTGTTGTTAAACGTTCCTTTCATGCGATTCCGGCTATTATCACAACACAAGGCGAGAAGACGCAATAGCAAGGAAAGACTGGACACCAACGAAATATTCTAAAGTTTGCTCAGATCACTTCGTTTCAGGTATATTTATCACTAATTACATTGGCTAACATGAGCTTCTTTACCTGTTATAAAAATCGTTTGAGATGTTTTACTCTGAGGTTGGAAAGCTACAGCACGCATAAACACAAACAACGTGCGTTCAATGACCCATGTCTCTGTAAACAGCATATATATACATTCTTAAACCACTATACTTGTGTGTGTGTATTATCTGTAACGTTTCCATGCATAAGGTATTAACGTTAATTTTAATAACTTGATTTGTTGAAGGACGCATTGACGTTACATAGTCATAGGATGTACTGTATTGTAGCTCTATAACTTATTACTGATTGAAAAAGATCATGATAAAAACTGTGTTCTAGCTCGAATCATCATTAAAATAACTCTGTTTTTTTTTTCAGGAAAACCATTAGATCTGTACAACCAAAGTCATCCTGACTGGGCACCTTCCCTGAAACTTGGTCTTGCAAGATCTGGTGAGGAGAAAGCAAACACCTGTTCCCCAACATCGTTAGAAAGGTAAATTATAACTCTAACTAGGCCTATTCTAATTATTATCATTCATTTATTTTGTGGTAACATGTTCTCTGTAAATTTTCCCATTGCTTAGTTTCTAGTAATACATGTTTTCAAATAGATTAATTAGATTGTAATCTTTAGTAGCTAATTCTGTATTTTGTTTTTTGTGTTTTTTTTGTCATTAGTTATTACATGTGTACATATATTTTTTCCTAGTTTATATATTTTAATGTGAACATCATAATATTTTATCCGGGTAAAAGATTATATAACACACAATACATTTATAAGTATCACAAGTAATTATTATTTATTATAGACACTCTCGCTTAAATTTACAATTGTATCTCAGAAAAGTAGTAATGTCCAAATGAAACCTTGGATATAAGTGAAAAAGCTTATTTCCAATTGGGGTCATCAGAACACCAAAGTGTATATCATTACTATCAATTCTTTATCTATCAAATGAATTGTATATGGTACAAGTTATTGGTACCAGGTACATACATTCTTGTAAATAAAATGTGTAAGCAGCTGCACTATGAAATTTTATTTTGTCTTGTGTAATTTTAGATATTCCAGAGCTCTGGAGAGACAACACAAGAGGATTAAATACTCTGCAGCAGAGACTTTGCTGGAACTGGCAGATCCTGTTCTCACTGCAAGCCCATCAGATGTGACCATACCATGTAGTACTAGTAAAACGTATACTTTTCGTTTGATGGGTAAGCTTGACCCAAGAAGTACTGATCAACAGACAGAAGGACCAAGTGTAGACCAGATCCGAGAGGACCACCAAAATCTGACCACTGAAAACTTGGATTTAAGGAAGAAGTTACAAGAGCAGGACATCACACCAGAGTCTCTAAAAGACAAGGATGAGAAGGTGAAATATTTCACAGGTCTTCCTGGATATTTAAGCCTGATGGCATTATTCAATTTTTTGGATCCACACATCAGTGGCAACGGCAGAAATATTTTAACAAACTTTCAGAAATTGTTTTTGGTGCTGATGAAGCTTCGACTAGACCTGAGTGTGCAAGATTTAGCTTACCGATTTGGTGTATCTGCATCAACAGTATCCAGAACATTCAACCGTGTTATACATATCATGTATGTTAGAATGAAAGATCTAATCATGTGGCCCGACCGAGAACAGTTGAGATCTACTATGCCCATGGAGTTTAGAAAGAACTTTGGTCTTAAAGTTGCCGTTATCATAGATTGTTTCGAGATTTTTATCGAAAGACCGTCAAATCTTCTTGCTCGTGCTGAAACCTGGTCGAATTATAAACATCATAATACCATCAAGTTTCTTATTGGTGTTACACCACAAGGAGTTGTGTCATTCCTGTCACCAGGCTGGGGTGGACGAACCAGTGACAAACAGATTACTGAAAATTGTGACTTACTACAACACTTGTTACCAGGTGATCTAGTTTTAGCAGATCGTGGTTTTGACATTGCAGAAAGTGTAGGATTGAAGTGTGCCGAGGTAAAAATCCCAGCTTTCACAAAAGGAAAAAAACAGTTGTCAGCCTTGGAAGTAGAACAGACCAGGAAAATCGCCCATGTCAGGATACATGTAGAACGAGTGATTGGACTTGTGCGCAATAAATACACTATTCTCAAAGGAACACTACCCATTGACTATTTACAAAGTGATCATGAAGAAGTGCCATTAGTGGACAAGATAGTTACAGTTTGCTGTGCTCTGACAAATCTATGTGATTCTGTTGTACCTTTCAATTGACCTGACTTTGCTTAACATATATTATGGTTCAGTATAATATCTAAAAAATGATCTGTGATATTAATGTGATGTACATTAGTTCTAGTGTTTATTGTATCTTGTTTAACTGGCTTTGTTACACAATCAGTTACAGATTGTTAAATTTTATACTGGTCAGCAAAATCAGTCCCTGCATGTAATATTGTACTGGAAAGGTAAAGTCACAATTTCAGTTTTCTGTGATAGAAATGTTAATTTATGCGAGATTGTCTGTGATAATTACTTGTAATACTAAATGTACTGTACAACTAAGTGTAGTCACAAGTTGATAAAAGCTGTTTATTTGTTAACCTGTATTTTGAGGAAATGTAAGAAAGTGATAAACATATGATTAATAAACATGTACAGGATTCTGAAATATTAAAACCATTGACTTGTATTCTTGTATTATACATTGTCCTCATTATGAATTATTCAGTTGGTGTGGGAGGAAATTGAGGATATTCACATGAATCAGTGCTTGTCTTGATGTAGAAAAGTTTTGTCTGACAAGATTAAATTTAAGTACTGGCAATTCCAGCAAATCGGAGTCCCTCAACAAAATCTAGGAATAATCTTGTAGAGAATAGTATTACATTTAAGTGTTATGCCAAGTTTTCCAGAGAGTGTGCATGGTCAATTTCATAATTCATGTACAACAATTCTTAAAAACCAGCAATCAGCAAAACCTAGATTTGTTTGTTTGTTGTGTTTATCGCCCTGTGAACAGCCAAGGTCATTTTGAGGCGGGGGTCTCCTTGTAGTAGTTTGTGACTACCTCACTGAACAACACGCGGGAGGCCCGTCGTATGTCATCAAAAGAAATTAGGGTAAAGTGTCTTGCCAAGGACACAACCAACGACAGCACAGACCGGTCAGTCCTCAGGCAAAAAAAATGGGGTTTCATTTACTCTGAATGCTCTCTGAATGGCATGGAGAGGTCATCATCACAATTATTAAAAAAGATGTCAGGCTTTTTTTTTCCCTTGGAGAACAATTTGACAATAGGCATTAAAGATAAGGATTGATTCACATAAATTTGCTCGTACATGTAAGCGAGTAGTAGATAGCAGCTACTAGGAAAGATGAAACATTTTTTTTCTCCTTGGCAAAAATCACATTGTTATAAAACAAAAATAAAAACACAAGAAAAATATATCTTTTTCAGATTTAATAGACTAAATACCCCAGATAAATTTTACATGATGAAATTGTACAATTAATCTTAGTTCAGAAGAGAAGGTACAATGTACATGATCATCGGAAGATAAATCTTTACTATAATTCCTACTGATAGATGTAAGGACCTGAAAACAAGCTAAACCAATAATAATATATAGCTGGACATCAGGATTATATATATTACAGTAATAATTCCATCAATTAATCCTTAGATACTACCATTTAATATTGTAATAATTGAATGATCATCATGCATGATTTCATATTTATACGTTCACGTTCATTTGAATCACATTTTTCTGCACTCTTGACAAAACCAGTCACCTTTTGGTATTCTCTTAATTTTTACACACTTGAAGTGGAGCCATACATAGGGACAGTTTTCATTGTCGCATCCAATTACAGAATCTGTATCTGGGTTGTATACAGACTGACACACACATATCAACCTGTTCGAATCTTCACTGGTGTCCTGTACACTTACACTGGGAGAAATGTCTGTTCTTTGTTCCGCAGAGTTAATGATAGATGATGTAGCCAAAGGACGAGAGTATAGCTTTCCGATCAATTCAGGTAATATCGCCCTCAAAAAGAAAGTCGACGACTTCTTCACAATTTCCTTGCAAAGTTCCTGGTCTACATCTATTCTCTCTGCATGATAGTCCACATTTGTCCACACAACAAAGTCTGAGTACTCTTTCTCACAAACAAAGAGTTGACGCTGGATTTGGTAGTAATATTGGTGGGTCTTTTTTAATCTAAGCTGGTCCCCATGCTTTTCTAGACAGAAGTTGCTATCCAGTGAGTCTTTAATAACTGAATCCCTCTTACAATAAGGACACTTGATTTCAATACATACTTCACCACAACAGTCACAGGAAGCAATACCATCTGGTGAGGCTCCAATAAAGGGATATTTCTCACTAATGACAAATCCACTGTCCCGTACACTGAAGTTTTCATGGTCCTTTTGCATCAGTTGGGTGTACGACTTGAGCGCCTCTTTTTCATGCTGACATCCCCATTTTGTTGCCTTTGTTGTGAACTTGTTCACGTTCGGATAGCAAGCAAATAGACTTCACTAAACTCTGTGAAGGGTTGTCCACTGATGTCTTGTACACGTTCTTCATCCGTGACGCAGTTATTCGTCCAGTTCTGAATCGATGCCATTCACGGCTCTTTGCTTGCTCGCGTGTAAGTTCTTCAGCATTTTTGATTTCCTCTGGTTCAATCGTAATGTCTTTCATAACTTCCTCGCAATGTTTTAGCAAATGTTCCTTGTCTACATTTACATATTTCTCATCCTGCAATTCTGACAAGACTAGTGGATATTTCTTGCTCAGCACATTTGGAATGTAGTGTTCACTATACTCTGGTATAAGAGACAACAACACTGGTCTTGATCCAGAGGAGTGTAACGCAGAAAATAAAGTTCTGAGTTCATCACTTGTTGGTTTGGCAACATCTGGGACAGATTTTTTAACAGGTGGAGTGAAAGATGCGTTAGCAATACATTTATCCAACTTCGTTTTCTTGGTTTTGGCTGAGGTGAAGTCAATTTCCCGAACTGTCTTACCTTTGACTTTCTTAACTGAGGAAGGGAGAAGCCAATACGCCTTGTCTTGTGTAACTGTCTGAGAATCTCTTGAGTTTCACTGACGCATCACGCGCAAACATGAGTGCACCGACATGACTACAAGACTCGCCAAGTCCAGCCATACAGTTACAATGGGCAGCCATGACCTTACCGTTATTCTCTGCCATCAACCACGGGTGTAATGGTGAGTCATTCATACACTGAGAATGGCGGACTCGTGCCGATATCAGGCGTAAATCATTATCCATCTTCACAGAACCGAGATCTCTCACCCAACCACTGACGAAATAGTTGTACGATTCTAGCGATTTATAAGCCTTCAAATTGTCCAGAGTGTAAGCACTTTGAGTGTTGACTAAATAGTTCACGATATCTGGGTATGCGATGGCAGGCAGTTCGTGGACATCGTCACTCCATTCTGACTTCGTAAGTTCGTATGGGTCCTTTCCACCGATAATGCTGATTTTCTGGTCATATCTGGCTTTAGAAATCACATCCAGGGTATCTCTGTAACGTTCCTTACTAGCAAGCTTCGGTTTGGAAGGTTTGTAATCACTCATCCTTGTTGACATCAAAGGTCGAAAATTTGCACACAAAATAACGCCCACTGATTTTCCGCTTGACCTACAAGATGGCCGCGTTCAATCGAAGTGCCCGGATGTACGGATCAGTGAAAACTAAGAATTTGTTGCCAGTTAATTGGCTTTGTTCTAAAAATTGCTCATCAATTAGGCCACTGCTAGTATTACTGTCTGAATCTGAATGTTCATTATCTGACATCTGAACTCTGACTGGAGTTAATCTGTTCCTATCAAAAGTTCGAAACATCAAACAAACATCTGGTAACAATCGTCTCACCATCCGGTCCCACGGTGGTCTTTGTTGTTGTCTCTTCCTGTCTGTGCCCCTTTTCACGGACATGAAACACTGGATGCCCACGTCATTGGTCGTGACGTGCTGTGATGATGTGCCTCCTCCTCCGTCCACGACTGGCGTCTCAGAAATTTCTTCCCCGTTTGACGTCCTCTTGACGGGTGTAGAACGGCTTAACAGTGACAACATCTTGGTCTGTACCATCACTGTTTGAAGGGAAACGTCTGGGTTGGTACCAATAGTAGTATCAACTTCTACAGCCATCTGTGCATCCTCCAACGTGTACGGGCATTCAGGAGATTTTGCTTTTTCCATGGCACTACACCTAGACATGCTGACACAACTGCGCCTTGGCGGTGTCATATCCTTCGCTTTCACAGGGTGCTGGCGCACAATAACTGACACAGATCCCCCTTTCTTGACAGTGTCTGGGAACAGTCTTGGCAGGGATGACATTCTTTATTGTGCGTCTTCTCTGGTGACTTCCTCTCATCATGGTTGACGACTAAGGTGTCTCGGGCTCTCTCGGTGAACAACATGAAGCGACCTCATATCGTCATAAAACTTCCGCAACCTGAAACCTGAAAGAGTTCAATGGGCGACTTGACTGCCGGGATCTTGAATACGTCATATTCCCTTGGATAGATGTCGACTGGACTCCAGAGGGTCTGGAGTTGGAAATTTATGAAAGCGCCTTGTTTGCTAGGGAGAACAGAGGACCCATCCTGTCTAACGATGCATGCCTTGTTGTATAAACACTTTTAGCTAGGTCAATGTTAACCATTGATTGTCCAGAAATGTGAAATTCCACAGGTTCATTTCAGGTTATCTGGGATAGGGGTCTAAAGTAAATTCCACAGATTTGCTCCACACCGGCTTGAAAGCGAGGGAGGGAGAACAACATAAATTGACACTGCAATCCTTCTTCCATTATGAGAAGTTAATAGGGTGCTTGCATTTGTTAGATTTTGGGCGAGTGGGGTCAAGTGTGATGAACATTCAAGACTCTCACCAAGATGCCTAGAGGGGGTCACAAAGAATCTTGTCCATTTTCAACATGATATGAGTTAATCATAGGAACAGTTGAGTTCTAAAATGAAGTGTGAGAGTATCTTGTCATTGTAGAGATCCATCCTTATTTTTAAGCACCGCGTAGAACCCCATATCAAGCTTCAGTCACCCAATCGGAGTCTATCTAGGAGTCTTTTGACCAACCCATTCATTTCACTAGTAATTGTTTTTAGGTCGAAGGGTCCGATGACCTATTGCGATCGACTTTTGTCCGGCGTGTCTGTCGTAAACATTTTCAACTTCTTCTCAAGTTCTAATGTCTCATTGAGCTGAAACTTACCTGAAATGATCATGACATGATCCTGACCAAAGTTTATTAATTTCTGGTTGGTCCGAAATCAAAGATGGCTGCAATCTTGAAAACACATTTTCGACTTCTTCTCAAGTTCCATCAGTGCGATTGAGCCAAAACTTGCAAGAAATGATCATGACATGGCACTGACCAAAGTTTGTTACTTGAAACATCCTCTGAATAACCAGAACATCTAGGGTGATATTTGGTCTGTAGCATGCTGGGATGAAGGTTTACGAAGTTTGTTGAAATGAATAACATTAACCCACTTTCACGGTGGTGGCTGAGTGCCCTTGATCCTTAAATACAGGTGAAATAAGTTCGAAATTTGGAACCTTGTATTTTATTTCACATCACCATTAAGGCCCATGGGCCTCTTGTTTCTTGTTACACCATTGTGTCTTTAGGACACTTTCTAACCTATGTATTAACCCCTTCGGCGCCAATTATCTCTTACAATGTACAGCTCAGCGCAAAATATTTTCCGGAAAATATCCGAAAACAATGGCAGCATTACTGAAACAAGCATACCTTGGCTAATAATAAAGATGTTAACTTCAAATTTGGAATAGTAATCATTTATTGCATACAGATTCTAAATATGTATTCAAAATTATATAATTCTAATGATAAGACCAATAACTTGCAAGTTAAACTTTTATAAAATATTTTTAGCAAATGAGTGTTTTCCACTCTGTTACAGGAAATTGGGGAAGAATTTTGTTAAAAGTAATTCTGGCTTGTATTTACAGTCTTTATGAAAACCAGAAATGAATTATGCTAGTTTGCTTTCAAACTTTTTTCCTTTTGATCACAAATTATAAACACGATGAGCAGCAGCACATCTATAATTTTGCTGCATGTGGTAAATTTCATGACAAGGTACACAACACATGGATAAATTGCACTGAATGCACTAATAGTTTGTTTGCTTTCTTTTCCACCCATTTTCTGTTCTGCTACTGCAAATAATAGTCTTGTTTATATTTTGCATCTCCATACTGTCCCACAAAGTGACGTTCGACCAAACGCTCTGAAAGTTCCAGGTTGGATGGTCTTCATCGTCTAGAAGACTTTCGAACAAATCCCTGTAATAATCCACTGATGACCTGTTCCCTAAACACTGTTTGGCCAACCGGTAATTCTGTTTTCTGGCAGTACACAACATAAGCGTTCACTAAAGCCACTTCGCGAATTTGGTGATAAACGGTATAATACCACTTGGATGACTTGCGTGGATATGCATGCGTCATCAGTTACTGATCCAAAAGATCATCATTCCTGTGCAGGTAAGATAACACAGTTCTTCTTAACAATTATTTATTTGCATCCTCCAGTGAGGGTGAAAACTCGACAAAAAGATAGCACACTCTAAGAATGACAAGGTTTGTCCAGTCCATGCTTTACAGAATGGTCAGGGTGAGAAAAATATTTTTGAAAGCACTCATCCAAGGGGGACAAGTGCCACATGAGAACCACTCGTCCCTGAACAAAAATTACTTGTCCCTCAGACTTGCAATTTTTAATTCTACATAAAAGTAAACAAAACCTGTGTTAATGTGTTTTCATTGTTTTAATAATCATATCTTGTAATTATACAGGAACTGCAGTTTTGTTTAGTCATCATTTCAGATTTGTCTCTCTCATAGAAAATGTCACTCTATGAATTAGTCAGAATCGCTATCACTATCCTCAAGCTGAGGTAATTCTGGTAGGTCTGTTGGTTCAGCAGCAGCATCCGGAGCATTGGTTACAGTTTTGACATCATCAGATTTTCCTGTCACATACCTGCGAGTTTTTGCTGAACATAACCATATATTGACTGCTTCATTTGCATCAAATGTTGAAACATTTTGTTGCATCTGTTTTATTTGCATTACATTCTGAAGTGTTGTTTGTTTCATCTGTGACCTGTATGTTGTCTTGAGTTTGTTCATTGAGCTAAAAGCTCGTTCACAAACAGCTGTGCAGGGTGAAAGTGTGATTATTATGTTTACCAATGCTAATATATGCTGAAGATTATCTGGATTGAGCATCAGTAAGTTTGCATATACTGTCTGAGGGGGTGAGCTCCGCTGCCTGTTCAACCTTAGCTTCAGATCTAGCCACTCTGCAGAGGTCCCATTTATGTCATATTCAGAAAGGCAGTCTTTGAAGTGATCAGTCAGATTGGCTACTTGGTTGTTACCAAAACTTCTCAGTTCATTAAGGTCAACAGGCCATAATGTGTGGTCAAACACTTGAAAATCAGCATAAGGAGGGTCCTGTAAAGATCCAAACCTATTACTGATTTACTGAACAACTTCCCCAAGAAATGTTGTGAATGTCCCAATCAAGTTTGCACCTTTATTTGTAAGTGAAACTGATTGAGCTGATTCCTTTCCACACTTGAAAACCCCATCAGAGTAACTCTGTACAAACTTGCTGTAAAATTCTCCTGTATCAGGTCCATTCTCTTTCAGCTCGGACAACTCCCATGAAGCTAACTCCAACTTTCTGACAACATCACTGATAAAGAGCTCATCTATCTGATAACATTCACTGAGGTGCTTAAGAACAGAAGTTACATCAATCATAAAATGCAAATATTTGACAAACTTTTCAGTTTTGAGTTCCCTTAGCAACCCTGTGGACCTGGCAGAATCTTCCCCAGTTCCCTGACCAACATGTTCCAAGTGATCAATTGTAACAGCATAATGTTTCTCTAAAGCTGCTAGTGATCTGTGCCTACTTGCCAACCAACGAATTTGCTGAACCCCACTGTAATAGGCATAGTCTTCCTCAATTATTTCAGAAATAGCCTTAAGTTCTCTTCTCTTCTTCGGTGAGTAAAAGTGGTATTTAAATACTCCTTTGACAGTGTCATCAAACTGACGTAGATATGGAACAGTTTTCACAGCATCCAACACCCCAAGTTCTAGATTGTGAGCGACACAGTGAATTGACAATAAGTGAGGGACCCTTTGTGACAACCTAGTAGCTACACCAGGCTTTTTTCCCATCATGACAGCTGCCCCATCAAAATTACAGCCAACCAGTTTTGAAACTAAAATTTCCTGAGTTACTCCAAACAGTTTCTACAGCTTCATCAATTGCTGCTAAAACACCTTCAGCTGTTGCATTTTCAAGAGAAACAATGTCACAAAGAAGAGTCTTTGCCCTGCCCGACGCTGGACCAACATATCGTAGAAAAACGGCCTCTTGCTCAACAATTCCTGCATTCGTGCTACCATCTGACAGAACACATAAAAACATGGCATGTTTTAGTTCTTGAGAAATAGCTTTCACCTCATTTGTGGCAATGTTGTTAATAAAAGTGGCACATGC